TACAGTTATCCAACTCAGGAAATGTAACATTGACCCAATGCTATTATCTAATTCACAGACCCGATCCAGAGTTCATCAGCTGAACCACTGATGTCCTCAGACCTTTTTCTTAAATAAAGAAGCATTATACTGTAATTGTCTATCTTCATCTTGCTATTTTCTTCAACATGTTAGTGCATGTAGATAGCCCAGTGTTATTGACATGTACCTCGTATTTCACAGTGTGAATATTCTGTAGATTATTTACCCCTTCCCCTGTTGATGGGCACTCAGATTATTTCCTACTTTTTGTCGTTGCCAACATCCTCAAACATAACTTAATGTTGGTGTGTGTTGCTTTGAATAACTGTTCTGAGGACATGTAGTGAGGACAAATGAGGACTCGTGATGTTGAAGAAAGGACCTTCAAAAGGAGTTAATAAAGAGAAGCTCCTGGTTCACACAGTGTAGGTTAATGGCTATAAAGCAACACAGTTATTCAGACTTTCCAATAGTTGGTTCAGAAAAAAAGACTAGGAAAGTTCTTGGTGAAGAACGATTCTTAGGAAAATAGTTAACAGTACTGCTATCTTTTATGGATTCAGCACCGTGTTAGGTAACTTGCACCAGAATGCAGAGGCCTCATTTGCTCTGAAGGCCCTTTGATGGAAACAGCCAGATCTTACCCCCCAGCCAGCTTCACTTCCAAGGCAAGCAATGTTCTCTTGATTGGGACACTTTTCTCCTGTGCACTTAGCAGACTTCCACCAGGGGGGAAGGTTGCTATTTCTGCTTTGTGTGAAGCATTTTGTACCATCTGGGCTGGCTGAATTTCAACAAAGATAGTAAAGAAACATTTATCAAGAAAAATCAAAGTCAGTCTCGCCAAGTGTGGTCTAGAGAGATTTGCTTTCTCGATACATATGCAGCTCTCTTGCTGCTGGGAAACATGACTGTACTTTGAAAAGCTTCAGGAGGGACAGGCCTTTGGATCTTAGCCTGCAGCTACTGTCAACTGCTCATGATACAGTGGCTCTAGGAGCCAGAGCTCTTGGAGATATGAACAGTCCCAGAATCAATTCTGTTCCGTACCTTTCCACAGAAATTTTTGGCCCCTTTGGTAGAGGAGAGACCCAAAAGGACAGAAGTAGAAGAAAGGGTTCTATAAGAGTTGGGGGAAAGATGGAGTCATGCCTCAGTTAGGAATGTTTGGTTCAGGGGAAGTAGATGCCCAGGGAGAGGTCATTCTTAAACCATTAGTTATGAGATTGGCTCAAGAATACAACATACACTTGTCCTGCAAAGAGCACTCTGAAAGAGCTGTGAGGTTGCAAATTTAAATAGAGGAATGTCCTGGTGATTGTCCTGTGGTGTCAGTTCATAAGACAGGGGAGGGAGCGTGGTCTTTGAAGAAAGACGCTGTTTCCACTTGCATATGTGTTGCCAATCAACCAGACAGACAAGTTTCTTGCACTTCAGAGCATCTCAAACCATGTTTTTATGCAGCTCCCTAGAGTGATAGATGTGTCATTCCAAGATCCCAGCCTAGAAACTGGCACATGCTGTTTTCCTTGGAAGGCTCAATAAATGAAAGTAACAGTTGGAGATTGTATTCCATGGGGGAAATGCATGGGGATATTAAGAAATATCATCTAGGAAAGTTTTACCTAATGTGTGCTCTGTGGGCTAGCAGCATCAGCATCACCTGGGAACTTGATAGAGAAACAAATGAGCAGGTGTCACTCCAGACTTACTGAATCAGAATCTATCTGTGGGAATACGTGTCTCACGAGTCCTCTAGGTGACCCTTATCCACGCTGAGGGTTGAGGAGCATTCCTCTAGAAGGGTTCAAATGGAAAAGTCGGATGCATTACTCTCAAGAAGGAAAACCACAAGTGGTTCTGTTTAATATCAGTCTGTCTGGAAATGTTTAAGTCTTCATAATAAAAATAGACAAATGTGGTACAAGGGGCACTGCATATGAATTTTAAGAACAGTGAAATAGCAATAATATAGCTAGCATTTATTGACTATTCCCTAGGTGCCAGGTTCTGTGCTAAACATGTATATTCCTTGTCTGACTGTACTCTTATAATAACCCAATGAGGTATGTATTATCTCCATTTCACTGATCAAGAATTTGAGGTTTAAAAATGTGAAATACCTGCTAGGCAAGATGCAGACCCTGGCACCTTATAGCCCTGTATCCACTATACTATATGACCTGGCTACTGTCTCATTAGAAATCAACTGTACTTTGAATAAATTTGGTTTTATATATCCCTTGGGGACAAGATCAACATCTTATGTTGGCGCCCCTGTCACCAGTACCTAGCAGAATGCCTAACACATTAGGGACCTGCTTATTTATTTATTTAAATAAGATGTTGGGGGTAGGATTTTATTAATTAATTTATTTATTTTTGCTGTGTTGCGTCTTCGATTCTGTGCAAGGGCTTTCTCTAGTTGTGGCAAGCGGGGGCCACTCTTCATCGTGGTGCGCGGGTCTCTCACTATCGCGGCCTCTCCTGTTGCGGAGCACAGGCTCCAGACGCGCAGGCTCAGTAGTTATGGCTCACGGGCCCAGCCACTCTGCGGCATGTGGGATCCTCCCAGACCAGGGCTCGAACCTGTGTCCCCTGCATTAGCAGGCAGATTCTCAACCACTGCGCCACCAGGGAAGCCCCAGGGACCTGCTTATTGAGCTTAACCAAATCAAAGAGGAAAAATTCTTGCTTTTGGTGCAAAAATGAGATACAACTTGCAAGCTGAGGTGGAACATGAATTCAACCTGTGGATAAATGGAAGAAAGGGCCATGTACTAGAGTGCAGAACAGTGTCAATGCAGAATAAGTTACAACTTGCATCCCGGGGTCCCTTGTCACTCCTCAGACAGTCCACCCAGCCCTTTCCTCATTTCATTTATTCAGTCTCAACCCTTTACTAGCTATATGATCTTAGGCAAGTGAGCCTCCCCTGACTCCCATCCCTAGCAGTGGTTAGCTGCTTGCATGTAGGAAAATAAAGGGGAAATATTTGAATTTAACTAAGGCTGTGTTTGTCAGATAAAATGGAAAGAAAGAGGAGTAAGGGAGTTGACAGTAGTTTCAGGGAGTGATTATAATGCACCCAAAACTCTAAACTGGGGGTGAATGGAGTAAAGGCAAGAGGGAATGGGGAGAAAGAGAAAATATATTGTGCTCAATAGACTGGTGATGGAAGGCCTGTAGCAGTGGGGTACTAGAGTTAATGGACTGGAAAATGGGAAGTGGCATAAGATCGTGGGGTACATGAAACTGAGTTTAAGAAAGTAGTGTAGGGCTTCCCTGGTGGCGCAGTGGTTGAGAGTCCGCCTGCCGATGCAGGGGACACGGGTTCGTGCCCCGGTCTGGGAAGATCCCACATGCCGTGGAGCGGCTGGGCCCGTGAGCCATGGCTGCTGAGCCTGCCCATCCGGAGCCTGTGCTCTGCAACGGGAGAGGCCACAACAGTGAGAGGCCCGCGTACCACAAAAAAAAAAAAGAAAGTAGTGTAATTGCTGGATGATAAGCACCAGGTAGGAGGTGATGGGGGTGGAAGCAAAGGTTGCAGGGAATGGGGGATACTTTACCCCTACATTTCTGTTTCTGTTATCTTATTACACTTATGATATACTTAGAAAAGATGTTGAATGATGGCTGTGGTAATGGGTATCTTTGTCTTATTCCTGACTTTAATGGGATTGCATTTATCATTAACTTTGGTGTCTATTATTTCAGATATCCTTTATCCTGTGAAGAAAATTTCCTGTTATTTCTAGCTAGTTGCAGTGATCCTATGGTTTTCTCCTTTGACCTATAAATATGATGAATATTTTAATAATAGATTTCTAAGGTTGAACCGTCTTTGCATTCCTGGTAGGAGTCATTATCTATTAGCCTTCTAGCAGACAGCCTGATTGAGTCTGCTAATACATTCCTTCCCTTGGCTGCCTGCATTACTGGTTTTGAACTGACTCCTAATTAACTTCTTCCCATTTCTCCAGGTTGATGTCTTATTCTATCTTATCCTCCCTATTCCCAGTTGCATCTGCACTGCTGACCTCTGCTTCCTTTCCCCTCTCTAAGCCTCCTTTACCCAGAGCGTTGTTGGTTGAGGGTGGAGCCTAATGGTAATGCTGCTCTTTTTCTCTCTGTGGGCTGTCTGGGTACTGGTTATGGGTGCTACATGGAAAATAGTTGCACTTTGGTTTAGAGGGCAACTCTTTGTCTTTTAGCTTTTTCCTTTTGAATTCAGGTAAAATGCACATAACATAAAATTAACCATTTTAAAGTGTACAATTCAGTGGCATTTAGTACATGAGCAGTGTTGTGCAACCATCATTTCTATCTAGTTCCAAGGAATTTTGTCACCTGTAAAGGAAACCCCATAACCATTAGGTAGTATCTCCCCATTCCACCTCCCACCAGCTCCTGGCAGCCACTAGTCTGCTGTCTCTTTGGATTTACCTGTTCTGGATGTTTTCTATAAATGGAATCATAGAATATGTGACCTTTTGTGTCAGAGTATACACATGTTCATAGCAGCACTATTCACAATAGCCAAAAGGTGGGAATGGCCCAAATATTGATCAACTGTTGAATGGATAAACAAAATTTGATATGTCCATACAAGCGGGTATTATTCAGTCATAAATGAAGTACAGTGTGTTTGAACCTTGAAAGCATTATGCTAGATGGAAGAAGCCAATCTTGTAGACTTTTTGGAAAATAAGATTAGAGAACTTACAGTTAATCTAGGGGACAGAGTGGGGAGAGCTGTATGAAAGTCAGAAATCAATTTTAACCCAATATAGAGCAGAGTCTACATCTTTTCAGTTTATCTCACTTTGTACGCTTCTTAGCTGTTGATGTTAATAAATGAAAATTCCCGTTAAGTAAGTGTGATGCCAATGATCTTTTCACAGGTTCTACAACCATCAGTAGCTGGTGCTTAAATATTCTGGGGCTATTAATGCTAAAACTGCTTTTTCTGTTTTTAGTAAGAGATGCTAAAAACCTTGTACCTATGGACCCTAATGGCTTGTCTGATCCTTACGTGAAACTGAAACTGATTCCTGATCCCAAGAGTGAGAGCAAGCAGAAGACCAAAACCATCAAGTGCTCCCTCAACCCCGAGTGGAACGAGACATTTAGATTGTAAGTTAAAATCATTGCAGCCCAGCCTGGGTGGTGCAGGTTGGGTTGTGTGGGCCACCTGAGGTTGGGGAGGTCCTCTCCCAGCTCCTCTTTCCTTCGCTCCTTCCCTGCCTCCCTCCTTCCTTCCTTCCTTTCCTTCCTCCCTCCATCTGCATTTTTGCATTGCAAGCCAAGTAAAAATTGGAATTTTTTTTTATACACTGCTGAGAATGTCTCTGGTGTGGGAGAGTGGGTGGGATGGAAAATAGTGTGATGTGTTGCTAGGTGAAGGCAAATTGTGGGAGAAGCTCTGGGTCTTGGCAAACATGGGACATAACCCATAGGGTGTGGGGATGACCTCTCTAGGGCTGGGTGCGTGAATAATGCTGGGCCTGTAGCTTGCCGGGAGCTCTCTGCCAGCTGCCATGGAGGATTTTACGTGGCTAGTGCTCCAAGAATGTGGGTTCACTTCTTGATGCATCTGGGCCAACAAATATGACATATATCAGCCTATATTTACTGAGCATGTACTATGTATAACGAGCACTGTATTAAGTGATCTAGCTTCGTTGGTCATTTCATCCCCATTTTACCAACAGGGCTTAAAGAGATTAAAGCACAGGCCAATGTCCCACAACAAATGGAGCAGGATTCAGCGACAGACAGTCTGACTTCAAGGACCATGGGCCAAAAGCATGATTCCTTGTGGTGCCTCGTTCCTTCTTTCCCCTCTCAGGGCAAAACTGGGGGCCTATCTCAGCCTCAGTCAAGGACATGCCCTAGAACAATCTCCCCTAGACTGGCACCATCAAGACTCTTTCCTTCATACATTTCCTCAGCCTCATCCTCAACCTGCATGTGTGCAAACACTCACACAATTATATGATTGACATCTATAGTTCTTACAGTGACTGTGTCAGTAGGATTTCCTGAACATCATGGATCCTATTAGGACATAAGGCAGCAGAAGTAGTTAGAACTGTCCCTGTCAGAGCTGGCCTAGGCCCTCCACCTGTTTAAACAGCTGTAAAACAGGAAAAGCTCTACCTCCCTGGGGAGCTTGCCTGGGATGGAAACTGAATATGTTTCTTAAAACAGCTTGTAATCCTTAAAAATTCCTACCTTCAGGCTTTGTCCTCTTGTACATTTCATCCGCTTGAGAAATCACCATAACCTCCACTGACCTCTTTTTTTCTCCTTGCAGCCAGCTGAAAGAGTCGGACAAAGACAGAAGACTGTCTGTAGAGATTTGGGATTGGGATCTGACCAGCAGGAATGACTTCATGGGATCTTTGTCCTTTGGGATTTCTGAACTGCAGAAAGCTGGTGTTGACGGCTGGTAAGGGAAATTTCACTTTGAAAGCAACAGTACAGCTTGGTCCATCAAAATGTGGGAGCAAGTATGTTTCCCTTTTTCTCCTAAATGTGAAAAACTAAAGCAGAATCACAAAGGGAAAGCTGGTAGATTGGCTCTGCCTCATAGATGGTTTTATTTAGTCCTCATGCAAAAAAACAAAAAAAAAAAAAAAAAAGAAAAGAAAAAAGAATTAGTTGCCAATATTTTCAAAATCAGGACATTTCCCATAAAAATCTGGACCTAGAGGGCAAAAATGAGGACAGTTGAATAGTTAATACCCCCTTTAGACAGGATGTGGATTTTCTATTTGCCACAGTCCTCACCAGTCCCTGTTGTTTTACAGCTGCCCCACTTTACACAATTATATGGCTTGACAGGCCCCATGGGCACTAAAAGGGCTCTCACGCTTTACCCAGAAGATACGTGTAATCCACTGTCAGATTCTGACCCCTTAAGAAGATGCTTCTTCATTGGGACTGCTTACCAAGCCTGGTCACAAAAGTGCTGGAAGGTTGCTGTCATAGTCAGCTGCAAAATCTCCTTTGTTCTGACATTTTTGCTTTATTCCCTTCTAATGGCAAAAAATCCTTCCCCAATATTCCCATCAGAGAGGCTGGATAAGTCCTCTTTGGCAACTGTTTCCTTCCCAGTTACCTGAGTAAAGGAGTCAGAAGAGATGGCCCACCTTGGCACTAGAACTTTGGGAGAAGTAGTCATTAGGGGTGCTCCTATCTCTTTAAGAGAAATTGTCTCATTTCTGAATGGTCCCTGCTCAGGGCTTTTTCAGTTACAAGTGAAAGACAATCAAAATCAAACTGGTTTAGCAAGAAAGAGAATGGATCACTGGGCCCTCACATCCTTTCCATCGTCCTCCTTACAACTTCCTTGTCTCTCCTCCACATTTATTGTAGGCTTTTATTCAAATAATATATTGAGGATCCACTCCGTTCTAGTCACTAGAGATACAAAATAGTAGAAAATAGTGTTTGATGCTGATGAATGCTATAGAGAAAAGTAAGCAAGAAACGGGTAGGGACTGCCAGGGGACGGTGACATTGTGGTTTAATAGCGTGCTCAGGAGGGGACTCTCTGAAGAGGTGACATACAGCCAAGACCTGATGGGGGTGAGGGAATGGACCATGTGAAGATATAGGGAGAAACTGCCCCACACAGAGAGAATTAACCTGTCCACTTTGGTTGCAGAATTGTAGGGACCTCTTGCCTAGTCGATCCTTTTCCAAGCTTCCATGTTCAGTCTTTCCAAGTCCTCTGGCTTTGTGTAAAAAGTGACATGTTGTTGGATTTAAAAAAAAAAGAAAGAAAAGAAAAAAGAAAACGTTTTTCTGAAAGTGTTTTCCTCTTTTCCATACGGAAGTGTTTTAACACGTTTGGTCTTAATTTCTCCATTTTTGTCATGGTGTTTCTGTTTCTAAAGGTTTTATTTTTTTCCTTTGCTATTTCATTCTTTTCTTTTTTTTCTGCAGCTGAACAGATTATCCTAAAGCATTGTTACCTTAAAGTCATATTTCTTTAAGCTTTCTTTTGTTATTACTAATAGTCATGTTTTGGTCTTATCACACACAAAAAATAACAAAAGCTTTGGAATCAGACTTCGTGGCTTAGAATTTCTGTCCTACCACTTCCTAGCTGTGTACCCCTGGGCAAGTTCCTTTGCCTTTCTGTGCCTTCTTTCCTCATTCGGAGATAATAGTGGTAATTAAGTCATAGGATTGTTGTGACATTAAATTAGTTAATATAAGAGAAGTGCCCAGTGTCTGGTAAATAGTAGGCACTCAGTAAGTGTTAGTCATTATTATTAATTGAATAATTATTAGAAAAATATAAATAAGCAAACAAAATATTATCGGGATCCCATTGCCCAGAGATAATCACTATTGACCATTTTTAGAGTTTTTTTCTGTGTGTGTGTGTATGAAACAAAAATGAAAACTTACTGTCCATACTGTTTGGCAGTGTGCATTTTTCACCTAACAATACATTATGAACCCTTTTCCCTATCATTCAGTAATCTTAGGCAACATCATTTTTAGTAGCTTCATATAGTCCATTCTTATAGATCAGCCTCAATTTACATATTTACATATTCTTATTATAAGATATGCAATGCTTACCTATATAAATAATTCTACAGTAAACATACTTATAGTGAAACCTTTGGGCATGGCTTTAATTATTTCCTAATAAATTCCTAAGCCTGGAATCAATGGCTTTGAGACCATATGCATTATTCAAGTATTTGCCATAATGTTCTGTAATTTTTTTCAGTCAATTTACATCCTCACCAATGCTGTGTGAGACTTTTCATTTCACTCACACTTGTCAACATCTGGTATTATAAATTTCAAAGATGATGCAAAGGCTATACATATTTTGTTACTAATTATACATATTTACATAATATACATAATATGATACACGTTTTTATATATACTTTTCTTATTTTATAATATAAATATTTATTATTATTATACATACATTTGTTACTAATTATGTTGAATGTTTTCATTTGTATATTGCCTTTTTTTTGTATTTATAAGTGACTATTTCCGGTGTTTTGCCTATCATTTTCTTATTAATTTAGAAGAACTTTTTTTTTTTGCGGTACGCGGGCCTCTCACTGTTGTGGCCTCTCCCATTGCGGAGCACAGGCTCCGGACGCGCAGGCTCAGCGGCCATGGCTCACGGGACCAGCCGCTCCACGGCATGTGGGATCTTCCCGGACCGGGGCGTGAACCCGTGTCCCCTGCATCAGCAGGTGGACCCTCAACTACTGCGCCATCAGGGAAGCCCTAGAAGAACTTTTTATGTAAGAAGGATAATACTATATCTTTGCTGAAATGTATGTTGCAATATTCCCCTCTTTGATGTTGTAGGTTAATTCTGGTAATATGCATTTTTTTCTTAGTAATACATAAAGCATTCCATTCAACTCTGATTAATATAATAAATATCAAGCCAACTGCCAGAAAAAGTTCTCTAGTTTATCCACTGATTCACTAGTTGTTTTCTGAATTATCCATCCTAGTGTTTACTGTCTCCTATGGATTTTAAAATTTACTAATTATATTTTTCTTCTGAAAGTAGTCTTTCCTAAGCTCAGATTGTTGCCGCTTCATAGATGCATCAACCTCTTGGATCTCATTGAAAATATGAGTTAGATATTTTCTGGAATTTTCTCTCTTTTGGCACCAGTTCTATTTCATGGGAATCTGATTCCTCATCGTTTCTCTTTATTTTAATGAGTTTTCCACATGCCCTCCTTATAGAAGGGTGAACACAGAAATGTTGAGTGTCCCTGTTCTAATCTTTCACATCCAGATGAAGGGAGAAAGGAGCCTTTTGTATTTTTTGGAGATCTTCTTTGTTGGATCGAGGGTCCTGGTCCTGTAGATATTTGGGAGAGGGCTACGGCTGGAGTCAGCTGCACGGCAGGCAGCCCTACTGCCCCATGGAGGGGCATCTTCCCCCTGTTGGTTTTGTGCATCTCAAAGTCGGAAGGGGTTCCTGCTCTTCTTTTCTAATGGGCACAATTGTCCGTATTTGGAGGCCATAGTGACAGCATACTGGCCACAGCAACCGTGAGGTGGTGGTGCCATGCTCTAACCAATGCCCCAGGTGCTGACGTGTCCTGTACTTGCTGAATATAGTTCGGAATTTTTGACCCTCGTCTAGTCCCTGCTGGTCTGTTCCAGGGTTGTTAGTGGGGTCCTGTTGAGGTTCCCACTGGCTGATCACAGCTGGTCAATCCTCTTTGATGTGTATTTTCCAAAGTATGGGGCCCCAAATGGCTTAGGTAGTACATGGTTGGGGCATCAGCCATATTGAATTGTATCCTGACAAAGCTATTCTTTCTTTTTTTTTTAAATTTAGTTTACTTACTTACTTACTTACTTATTTATTTATTGGCCGCGCCATGCAGCATGCAGGATCTTAGTTCCCCGAGGGATCAAACCCGTGTCTCCTGCATTGGGAACGTGGAGTCTTAACCACCGGACCGCCAGGGAAGTCCCAAAACTATTCTTTTGTTGGTGTTGCTTCAGTTCTTGAGTTTACTGCAGAGAAAGTCTCAGAGGGCGCTGGTGTATCCTTAATACTCTTTAACCCTTGCTGCTTGCTGATCCCCCATTTTAATAAAAGGGGCAGGTATTAGTCTCAGAGCCTTTGGTAAGCAACACCATCTACTTGGCTTTGAGTAGCTTTGATTTGCGTATGCTTCATTTTTTACAGATACATACTTTCTGCTTGTAACAAGTGTTGTTGGCTTTCTTTACAAAGAAGAGATATAAAGTGTCTTTTTAAAGTGAAGTTATTATTTGAAAAGGCGATTTAATGAAAAACATTGTCAAAAATAACATCCAGATTTAGCAAAATCCACAAAGCTGGAGGAATTTTGCCAAACACTGCTCCGTGCTCTCTTACTAATACTTTAATTTGCAGAACTTTCTGGAAGTCCCTGCTGTGTGTATAACACCCTTCTTGATTCCCAGCAAAGATACAGATGTTCTCTTACTTTTGTATTTATTTAGGTAATTTCTTTGGCAGTTTGGAAGATGAGCACTGAATATTAAATGTGGAGGTGTCCAGGCTCAAATTGTCATCTCTGCTTTGAGTCACCTATCTCTCTATTTTTAGAAGCTTGCCTAGGAAGATTTGTGAATGGAGAAAAAAATTGTGATGAAAATTGTAAATTCTGGTTAGAAAGTCTCTGGGGGTGAGGAGTTTTGGGTTCTTTTCCCCCCTGCTGACTCTAGTGCCTTGGGAGTGTCCCTTTTCCTTCCTCACACTCATCTCAGTCTGACTAGATGGAAACATCTTTGTGGTCTAGAAACAAACCGAAACCATCTTGTTTATTATAGTAATATTAATATCAGTAACAATGATGATGATACCTTTTATTGAACACTTGCTAAATGCCAGGCACCAGGCTTATCATTTTACATGCATCATCACGTCTCAGCTTCACAGTCATCCTATGAAAAAGACTTTTATTCCTATTTATTGATGAGAAAAATCGAGGCTCAGAGGGCCTACCTAGCTTCAGTTATCCAAAGAGGCAAGGGAAGAGGTGAGATTTGGACCCAGGCATAGTTTGACTCCAGGGCTTGTGTACTTTCTCAGGAGCTTGACTACCGAGCACTTTGGGAAGGTTTCTGCATAGAAAAACGGCGTCAGTGAGACAAGACCAGAGTCATCCAAGTGCTGGGATGGCCGGGTGGCAGCATGTGAAAGGGGATAGAAATGCTGGGACAGCGTGATAGGAATACGTTGATGGTGGGAGATCCTCAACATTCTTTCAGAATCAGAAAGCACATAATGGACCAAAAAAGTAGGTAGAAACACTGAATGATATAATCAAGAAAATTATGTGTGTCTGTGTGTGTTTAGAGAGACAGAGAACCTTGCGTCCTATAAACCCATTTTTTTCTGATGTGTTTCTGATGGTTATAAAAATATATAGTGTCCCTGGCTACACACACACACACACACACACACACACACACACACCCCAAAACAAAAAACCCTCAACACATGTTTTTGTTTTTTTAACATTTTTATTGGAGTATAATTGCTTTACAATGGTGTGTTAGTTTCTGCTTTACAACAAAATGAATCAGTTATATGTATGCATATGTTCCCATATCTCTTCCCTCTTGCATTTCCCTCCCTCCCACCCTCCCTATCCCACCCCTCCAGGCGGTCACAAAGCACCGAGCTGATCTCCCTGTGCTATGCGGCTGCTTCCCACTAGCTCTTTACCTTACGTTTGGTAGTCAACACATGTTTTTAAAGTAGAGCTTTCTATAGACTTCCCTCCCTTATCCTAATCAACAAAATTATATTAAGTAGAGTCATGGAATTTATCTTTCCTTTGCTCCCTTTAGGTTTAAGTTACTTAGCCAGGAAGAAGGCGAGTACTTCAACGTACCTGTGCCACCGGAAGGCAGTGAGGGCAATGAGGAACTGCGGCAGAAATTTGAGGTGAGATGTCTTTCTTTCGGCATCAGTGGGAACCGGTTGAGTCTGCCTCTGTACTGTTTTTCTTGTTTATGGTGTGGTTTCTACCAAGGCCTTTCCTGACCCTGTGCCTTTGCGATGTGGTTCTGCTTTCCAGAAAACTCCTATTTATCCTTCAAGACCCCAGTTAAATGTCCCCTGCCTTGTAAAGTCATTCTGCCTGCCTGTCCTCATTCAGATTTAGACTTTTCCTTGAGAGTGTTCATTGACTACCCAGGTCATTTTGATGGTGGCTTGGACAGGGATGTTAGTAATGATGAATGAAAGCAGTGGACAGGGTAGAGATATCTTGGAAGCTCAGTCAAGTAGGCTTGCTGAGGGATAGAATCTGGATTTGGATCTGTCGGCAGGATGGTGCTGTATTAACAAATGGAATTGATAGTGCTGGTGACTCCGTGAAATACCCATGGATGCATTTCTCGAAGATTAAGAGCCCTTGGCTCTGACCTTGGGCCATAGCGCTGGTCTGCTTCTACCCCAGATAAGCCCCTTCCCTTCTTTGGAGCCAAATAGACTTCATACATGAGACTAGTAGGTATGTAGGACATCCCAGTTTTACAAAGAAAACGTTTTGGGGAAAATAGGTTTGAGTTCCTTCATTATATGTGTATTGAGTGATTTTAAAGTAGTTTCGTAAGGGAAAACACATTATTTTGTTCACAGAAACTTACTATACTGAGTCTGATGGGAAATCATCAATTCTAGATGAGCAATGATGGCCTACTAACTCTGAAAAACGTATAAAATAGCTAAAATGAAATAGGTTACTGTCATTGTTATTCATCAAGTAATCACACAGGCAAATAGAAGCAAAATATGACGAGGTGAAGTTCTGTGAAAGAGAGGCCCATGGCCCTTTGAGAAGATACAAGAGGGAAATGTAACCTTGTCTGAGAGGACAGGGAAGGAGTCATTGAGGAAACAACAGGGAAGTTAACCAAGTAAAGAGGGGAAAAGAGCACTCCATTTAGAAAGGCGAACAGGTGCAAAGGCCCTGTGGTGGGGAGTTATATAGCAACTCTGTGACACTGAAAGAAGGCCAGCGTCGGTAGAGAAGAGAGAGCAAAGGGTGAGTTCACGGTGTGGCTGGGAGGTGGGTGGGGTCAGAGTAGAAGGACTGCTGACTCTAGCAAGGGTTTTGGCATTTATTCCAAGAACCATCTTAGTGTCCCCTCAACTTGATAGGACTCATACTTGTGTACTGACCCTTGTCTTGAGCCTGTGCCCTCCGTAAAACCTGGTGACGGTTCTGACCCAGTGGGACTTCCCTTCATGGAAACAAGTGGAATAAACATGTTAGCCTTGGACTTAACAGTCATTCTCCAGTGTACTTGATCACTGAGGTTCATCCTTATAGAGCAGCTCGCTCAAGCCCAAACGAGTTGATGAAAGGACTTTCCCTCCTAGGAGAGCCGAGACCTGGACAGTGATAACGTTTTAGGACAGGAGGGCAGGCCTTCCAGAGAACCCTTTTCTTCTCCTTCCTTCAACTTTCTGATGGAGTGGTGTCCGTTTGCTGCCGAGTTAAAAATGTCCTCTTGTGGGTGAAAAAAACAAGACCAGTGTTTTCTTGTATAAAATGAAGTCTCAGTTTTGCAAAATGATTTCTTCTGTCTTAGGGCAGCCAGGGTGACATTTCAGAACACCCAGGAAAACATTTCCTACATGAACAGAGCATTTGTCTGGGCCAGTTACTGGCTTGAAGGAAAGGACTGTTTTATCTGCGTGCAACAAAATGTGTCCTGTATTTCCCGCAAGAGCCTGCAAATGCTTGCTTATGCCTGAGTGGTAATTGCTCCACACCATAGTTTGTTGATTAAAAAAATGTTTCCAAGAGACCGAAAATTGTTCACAGACACATAGAGGAATTTCAGTTGACCTTGGACGTGAGAAATGTAATCCCTGTGCAATAACCAATTAGCCCCCAGAATGACTCAGAAATTACTTTCAAGCCTCTTATCTGGAGAAATTCTGAGTGACAGTAAAATCGAGCTGCAGAAATTGGGGTAATAGAATTTCACGGTAGGGTGAGCTTGGTGAAGTTACCACACATGGTATGCTTCAGAACATTGGAGGAGGCTCTGTTTGGGGACTTTTGTCTGGCTGTGGCCTTGCCGATGGGCCAGGGAAGGGAAGACTCCATTTTGCATGGTTCAGAATGGGTCTTCTGACAAGCTTAGAATTTTTTAATTTAATAAAGTGCTTACTATGTGCCATTTATTGTTTTAAGTGCTTTAGAAATATTAAGTCATTTAATTCAGTCCTTACAACCACCATGACTGGTCAGTACCTTTATCATCCCCCTTTATCTTTTACAGATGAGGAAACTGAGGCCCAGAGAGGTTAAGCAACTTTCTAATATCCCTCAGCTGGTCATTGTCTAACTTTGAGTTTCCCCAGAAACAGACTATAAGGATTCAAGTGCAGGTGGTTTCTTTGGGAGGCGAGCCCAAGAAGCATCGAGAGCAGTGGGAAAGTGAGGCAGGGAAAGGAAGGGAGCTGGAAAAGTATGTCTGATCAGCAAGTTACCACTGTGGGCAGCTGGGGTTTAATCCTGCCGGGGATTAACCGGGCCGCAGCGTTTGCAGTCAAGGGACAGGCAGCTGAAGTATTATCCACCAGCTCCCCTCCCATCACTGGCTGAAGGCTGCTTCCAGGGGTATTAACCTGCCAGCACTTTCAACTTGGCCTGCTTGTGGGCTGTGCTTGCTCCTGCAACCAGGAAAGGAGCCTGCAGGCAGAGTCACAGGTGGAAGCGGCAAGCAGCCCCAGGTATAGAGAGGAGAGGGCCCAGGGGTCTTGGCTGGATACCTGGAGCCACATGCGTGCCGCGTAGCCTATTCTGTTCAGGTGGTTCGAGAGCCAGCCTGCCTGGATTGGAATCCCAGCTCTGTCCCTTCCTTGCTGGGTGCTGAAGGCAGGTGACTTTATTTCTCTGAGCTTTTGATTCCCCACCTGTATGTATCATGGCTCTTCTGACCTCCCATGGTTATGTGAAGAGTGAGTGAGATAGCATTTAAACCAGTGTCTGGCATGTCATATCATTCAGATGTCAGATGGTTATTATCCTTAGCAGCCCTCTCCCTGCCTCACCACCCCCCGGAATAAATAAAGCTCAGGACCTGCTCCTTCGGTCTTTGGAAGGGTTGCTTGGGGGTTAGGGAGCATCTACGTGGACCGCTAGCCTACAGAGGTGTCTCCCGCCACTGCTGGGTATGGGAGTGCCGTTGGAGCTCCTTGTAGGGGTGGAGGTTAGTTTAAGCCAAGAAAGGCATTCCTCATCTGAGATGGGGCCCTGGAGCCAGGCAGCCGGGACGCCTTCACTCTCCCGTAGCACAGTCTGGGAACAGGCAGGGCTCTTTGCTCAGAAGCGTGTCTCTTTGCTTTATCTTTGAGCACCAAGTCCTAGGGCTCTAAATTACAGACATGAAAAGGCAACCATTAGTGTATTCCTGTTTCTGAAGCCGTATCCAACGCAGCAAGATAGAGGATCATTTAAATTTGGGCCTCAATTTAAAAATGTTTGTTCTTTGATGGAGGACCTGCTAGGCGCGAGGCCGCTGGGAGACATGGGAGTTCGGAGGAACACAGGACAGGGTTCTTGTCCCAAATGTTTTTAGAACTGAGAAGGTAACAAGAAGGGGGAAAAGCTTAGCGTGAGACAGCAGGGTGTGGTGGTGATGACGGTCAACTGGAGACCCCATGTCCCATCTAAAAGCCCCATCCGTATGGATGGGGCCCAGTTTTGCCAGATCTGCTTCTTTAGAAGAAGCTGGGATTTGGGTTTTTGTAGGACATCTCCTGATTTTTAACAGATCTCAACTAATTTAAATATTAGTGCAGACCAGACCGATAAGGCTATTAGACTTCTGATCTAGCATCTAGAGGCTGAGATAACACTCTGTCTTAGTTCAGACTCTTATAACAAAAATACCATAGACTGGGTGGCTTAAACAACATTTATTTCTCACAGTTCTGGAGGCTGGAAAGTCTAAGATCAGCGTGCCGGCAGAATCGTTGTCTGGTGAGGGGCTGCTTCCTGCTTCATGGCCCTCTTTTTGTTTTGTTTTGTTTTGGCCACGCCCAGAGCATGTGGGATCTTAGTTCCCTGACCAGGGATAGACGCCCCCTGCAGTGGAAGCTCAGAGTCCTAACCACTGGACCGCCAGGGAAGTCCCCATGGCCCTCTTCTTACTATGTCCTCATGTGGCAGAAGGGGCAAGGGGACTCTTCTGGGGCCTCTTCTATAAGGGCACTAATCCCACCCATGAGGACTCCACCCTCGTGATCTAATCTCTTCCACAGGCCCCATCTCCTAATACCATCACGTTTGAGGGTTAGGATGTCAACATATGAACTTTCAGGAGACACAAACATTCTCGGTCTATAGCATGTAACTGTGAGAAGAGTCGCATAAGCAAATTGAGATGGAGCGTGGAATTCAGAGGAGAGAAGGTTGCTTGAAGGACTGAGGAATCAAGCTGATGGACACTTGCTGCTCCTTGAAGAACTGGGAAAAATTTTCCTCTAAGCAGTCAGATGGAGAAATGGGGAAGTGTGTGCACCTCACCCATGCTCCACTGGCAGGGGGTGCTGGGACCTGCAGGTGGATGGAAGCAAACCTCAGGGCTGGAACGGAGACTGGGGACCAGGGACAGTCAGGATGTGGATCTTCACAGGCTGGAGATTGGAGTGTGTGAAGTGGGTGGGTCCTGAGTTGAGACTCAGAGAAGATGGGAGACATCATAATAAAGCAGGGATGGTGGGAGGGAGGGAGGGATATGTTTGGATCAGGATAGCCTGGGAAAATCTCTGGGGGCTGGAGGGTGAGAATTTGGGATTATGGGAGGACATGGCCCTGAAAAAGCAATGCAACTTCTGTTTGAGGCTCTTTTCTTGTTTGCAATTTCCCTAATGATCTGGTTTTAACTACCCCCTCTAGGCTTTAACCCCCAAATCTGTCTCCAGTTTTGGGTGGGTTTTTTTAATGATTTTTTGGGGGGCTGCGTCGGGTCTTTGTTGTTGCGTGCAGGCTTTCTCTAGTTACAGCGAGTGGGGGCTACTCTTTGTTGCGGTGTGCAGACTTCTCATTGTGGTTGCTTCTCTTCTTGCAGAGCATAGGCTCTAGGCGTGCAGGCTTCAGTAGTTGCAGCACGCAGGTTCAGTAGTTGCGGTGCACAGGCTCTAGGGTGTGCGGACTTCAGTAGTTTGGCTTGCAGGCTCTAGAGCGCAGGCTCAGTAGTTGTGGTGCACAGGCTTAGGTGCTCCACGGCATGTGGGATCTTCCCGGACCAGGGCTCAAACCCGTGTCTCCTGCATTGGCAGGCGGATTCTTAACCACTGTGCCACCAGGGAGGTCCCTGTCTCCAGTTCTTATGTCATTTCTTAACCCGAAAACCACATAATACAACTGTTTACTGGGTATTTATTTACACTTGGTCGTCCCAGAGACATTTAAATCTTAACATATCTTTACTACAAGATAACTGGACCAAGAATGCTCACAGCAGCCTTGTTAGCAGCCAAAAAGTGGAGACAACACAAATGCCCATAACAGAAGAATGAATAAATGTAAACAGTGAATGCTACTTAGCAGTACAAAGAACAAATCACTGATTCAAGCAACAGCATGAGTGAATTTCAAGGCCATTAGGATGAGTGAAAGAAGCTGGATGCTAAAAACTACATACCCTATAGAGGAAAACTTGACACTCTCACAATACCTCCGATACCAAGTGTGTGGGTTTTCCACACCAAGAAGTTCTCCACTTCTCTGTGGGCACCAACTAGGTGTTCTACAATTTAATTCAGTTTCGGCGCTAGCTACCTGGAGTTAGTGCAGACCCCATAGGTTAAGGGCTCAGTCCTACAAGACATCCCCCACTTTAGACTCCAATCGCAAATATTCTGGCCTCCTATTCTCCCCTGCTTTCACAGCGTTTGCTGCCATTCTGAGTCGTCATTCTGCTGCGCACAGCAGCAGGCCCCTACCCCGTTGCACTGAGGACAAACATGGGCCTCATCCATCCATTTATCCAACAAAATATTTAACTAGAAAGTGTGCTAGTTGTCAGAGCAATTGCGGAGAATGAGACATATTCCCTGCCCTGGCAGGTTTCCAGTCTGTTGGGGAAAACAAGTGAACAGACAGTTATCATGCAGTGTAAATGGGAAGTGAGGTGGATGAAGGGAGCACATAGGCACAGCCCATGCTGACAGAGAGAATCAAGGAAGGCTCCCCCGAGGAAGTGAAAACGTGGAGCGGGAGGTAACTAGGTTGGCGAAAGGGAGAGAATAGTCATCCACACAGGAGCAACAGTAGGTGCAAAGGCCCTGAAGTGGGAGGGAACTGGGACTCAAAGATGTGAAAGGAGGACGAAGCTGTGTTTCAGGGAAGAAGGAGCCGAGAAAATGTTGAAGAGGTTGGAGAAGCAGGTAGAGCCTGATCATACTGGGCCATCTGGGCCAGTGAAATCACCGAAGTCTTTTATCCTAAAAATCATGGGTCACTACCAAAGCATTTTAAGCAGGTGGTGACTTGGTTGAGTATGAAGAAGTGGAAGATCACTGTGACTACATGTAAAGCCCAGTGTGGAGGGAACCAAGGTGGGTTGTCCAGGTGAGAGATGATGACAGCTGGTATTGGTGGAGATGGAAAGAAGAAGGCATTCTAGAGACAGCTGGGAGGAAGCAGTGACTGTTCCTGGTGGTGGATGAGACACGAGGGATGAAAGAGGAATGAGGTGCCAAGGCTGGCCTCCGCATTTTGGGTCTGCACTGTGGAAGCTGGGCCATGCTTTTCACCAAGCTGGGGGCATGAGCTGCAGGAACCACAGCTTGCGGCCTATACGTGAGTTTGAGCACGTACAAGGGCATCCTCAAACTCTGATGATGTTTTCTGTGTGCTTCTCCCTCCAGAGGGCCAAGATCAATCAGGGGACCAAGACTCCTGAAGAAAAGACGACTAACACCATATCCAAATTTGACAACAACGGGAACAGGGACCGGATGAAACTGACCGATTTTAACTTCCTGATGGTGCTTGGAAAAGGCAGCTTTGGCAAGGTACAGTATGGCTGGGTGGTGGCACCTGCTCCAGAAGGAACAGCTAACAAGGCAGGCACATTTGCTGTTCATATGGGGCTTACATTCCAGTGAGGGAGAGAGTGAAAAGTAAATAGAGCTACACTACAGTTGGTAACGAATACTGTGAAGGAAATGAATGGAGTGCTGTGTCACAGACAGATCAAGAAGGGACCCACTCAGATTGAGGAAGTGATGTAGAAACTGAGACCTGAAGGATGAGAATGAACCAGCCATACATTCAAAGAGCTAGGAAGGAATGTTCGCAGCGGCGAGAACGGCAAGTGCAAAGGCCCTGAGGTAGGCAAGGGCTGGGCACATTCTAGGCACCATCAGAAGGTGCTGGGGCCAAAATGTCATCAGCAGGGGGAGGTTGCAGGATGTGAGGTTGCAGAGGTGGGAGGGGCCTGATCATGCAAAGCCTTAGAATCTGTGATGAGAAGTTTGGATTTTATTCACAGCGCAGAGGGGAGCCACTGAAAGTCTTAAGCAGAGAAGCGACATGATCAGATTTGGTTTGGGAAAAGATTACTCTTGCAGCTGAGAATGGAGATGGTTCTTTTCGAACAGCAGCACAGTTGAAGGATGACCTGGGACTCGTAGAGTGATTCTGGATGCTATTATAGGTACTAGGAGATGCAGTTTTACTGAAGTTGAGATTGTGTTATAAGTATTCCTGACTTGTTTAGTGTTGTGAGTCTTTTAATCCCTGTGTGTGCCACCAGTATGTCTCATATCAATCTCAGACCATGAACTTAGGTGTGCAAAAATATCAAATTTCTTCCCCATCTCTGTAGCTTAAGTCAAAAATCTGGGAGTTATCCTTGCCTCCTCTTTGTCCTCCCCTTACCCCAGCCGTGCCTAATCCATTAGTTAGTCTGGATAGGTCCTCCTCCAAAGCATATCATGAATTTACCGAGTTCTCTCCATCTTCACTAATGCAGCCCTAATCTATGCCATACAATACTGTCTGGACCACTGCAGACATTCCTAACTGGTTTCCCTGCTTCCACTCTTGTGACCTATAATTAATACACTTCTTTGCAGCAGCCATAGTTATTTTTAAAAACTTACATTAGGTCAAATCACTCCCATGCTTAAAACCCTCCAATGACTTCACAAGTAGAATAAATTCTTTACTGTGTCCTTGGCTTACATCACCCTTTAAATTCTGATCAGTTTAAATTGTTCTCTGTTTGATACCTTCTTTTCCTTTGCTTCTCCCCATCACCCATTGTGCTTGGGCCGCATGAGGTTCTTTGAGACATACAAAGCTCCCTCCTCTCTTCGAGCTTTTGTGATGCTGTTCGCTTTATTCTTTGCAGAGCTGGCTCTTTCTTGTAATTCCCATCTCTACTTAGATATCACCTCTTCTGAGAAGTCTTCCCTAACTGCCACTGAAAGAGCCACTCATTCATTCTCCATTATACTGAACTCTCTCCTAGCACCCATCACCAGATGATACTTCTCTTGCTTGTTTGTTGGTTTGTCTCCTTGTTCTAAGATCTGAGCCCCACCAGAGCCAGGAGCCCTGTCATGTTCACCAGTGTACTTCCAGTGCCTGTGGATCGAATTCATTCAGGGTCTAGACTGAGTGCGTGAATTTCCTCTATGGGCCACAAGGTCCATCCATCTGCTGTGATGGACTAAGGAATCTGAGGTGGTGGCCCAAAGTTTGAAGAGCCTCGGCAGGGAGTGAGAATAGAGAGTAGGAACACGGAATAAGATTGCTGAGCAGCCTGGAGTCCAAAAGGCTAGAGAATAAGCAGTAGTGATGGTGGAGGTCCATGCCACTGTGTCCTTTTTGCCAGCAGCTCTGAGCAGCCTGGGGGTGGAGATGGAGAAGTAGATGGTGGATTTGAGCTAAGGATGGTGATTAGCAGGATCGGTGCCCTAGAAGATCCCAGTGATAAGGGAGTCAAGGCTTCTGGGAAGAGGGATGCCCACTGCAGATCCAACAGAGCCTGTTCTAGCAGGTACTCAGCAAAAGTGTCCTGAATAAATGAATAAAAAGGACATCCAGACTGGAAGGAAGTCAGAGCAGAAAGAGGGTTATAACCTTGGGGAGGAAGAAGGAGTCTAGAGGCCTAGGGATGAGAAACAAGTGGGTGAGGCCAATAGATTTAAAATGCTAGGAAGACTAAAGGCATTTAGATTTCAAAGATGGGGGTGTTTCCCTGATGACAAGGAAGAATGAAGCCTAAATGAAGAGGAGGTTCTAATAAGCTGAGGCTGCCGGGGAGTTTTAAAAAATTAAATTATATTTTTAATAAGCAGTGTTTTCACGTGGTTCATAATTAAAATTATATTAAAAGGATAAACACTGAGAAGTCTTTTGCTCCCACTCAGGTTCACATCCTTCTGTGCCCCCTCGCTGCTACTGCCCTCCGTATACAAACTGTTTTGTTAATTTGCATCTTTCCAGTTTCTCTCTGCTAATTTAACGAATAGAAATATGCATATTTATTCTTGTCCTTGTTGCCTCAAAAGTTAGCAGACCACACACATATTTCTTCACCTTTTTGATCACTCAGCAGTACAGATTGGAGAGTTTTTGATTGAGGAATGGAAGTTCTGGAGGGTCTTACAGAAAGGATTGGGGTTGGGGGGTGGGTAGAGAAGTGGGAGAGTGGGTCTTGGGGAACAGTGAGGGAATGAGAGAGAATAGATCGTATGTTTCCATGGAAACTGTTATACTAATTGAGAGTTCTGTTCCAGACTGGGGATGTGGTATCAAATAAATCACAGAGGAAGACAACAGTATGTCATGAAAGCAAGCTAGAATAACAAAAACCTCTACCATCCTTTAAAACATAGAGTAATCCTTTGCAACTCTTGTTTTGCCAGTCGCGGTTTTAAATTAATGTGGTTTTATATTTGAATGCCTACTTTTACCATTTTTCAGTCTTGTGGGATATATACATCAACCCCCTTAAATGGAAGAACACAGCAGCAGTAACTGCTCCCCCGCCAAAGATGAAAGACAGGGACCGTTGGGTAATCTGTTCACACCTCCCCTCCCGCAGGCCCACTGTATCAGATCTGGCCCAGAAAAACATGCTCTTAGAGACAGTAATAATTTGTGGAGCGACTAGGGAGAGACACAAGCATTTTGCTAAGACCTATGAAAATGAAACAAGGGGCAAAGCAAGTGTGAAGGCCATTGAGTTCTAAATGAGTAAACCCTGTTTCAAAAACTTTAAAAAGAAGAAAAATTTGGAGAGTTTGCTTTCCTGACCACGTGAAAGTGTTTCCCTGGGAGCGTTATCGCACCAGGGCAGGGCCTCTTGGCATGTCTGGCTTACTTGGAGATAGACGCCCTCTAGAACTTTTGTTGCAGAGCATTTGCATGTATTATTCATTTGTTATTTAATGTTTATTTTTATAGCTTTATCCTCTCTATTTTTTCTGATTTCTTGAACCTTTGACTTCTGCTTTGCCAACCTTTACACTTTTCAAGAATTTTACCTCTGTGGTTGTCGAGTGATTTCTGCAGTTAAAATTGTGCTCCAGATATATAAATTGGGCAGATATGCACTGTTCAGACTGATTATACAAGTGGGGCTTATAAAGTAAAACAGCAAGTCTCTGATAAGGTGTATACACAGCACAAATACAGCTCTGTACCTTACAGACTTGATTCCCCTAATTCTAAAGTGCCATAATAAATATCCATTGGATATTTAATTAATGCTAGTATCACTTGCTTTCTGAGACTTCAGATGTGCTTGTGGTACTGATTTGTATGATCCAGATGTTTTTAGAAAATCATGCTGGGAAGTTTGAATGAGGGCTTTCTTATTATTTTCTTATACTCGTGGGCTCCTGCCTGTGGAGGATACTGGCCTGCTGGGGGGGTTGGTGGTGTGGGGAGGGCAGGAACATGTTGTGGTGGACCTAGAGCTAACATAAAGAAGAGCTATCATAGGAAAAGATCAGTAATAGAAAAAAATGAAAATAGCCCAAATGTTTATCGGTAGTGTGAAAGTTAAACATATAATGGTGTATCCATGATACCTTCAAAAGGATGAGGTCTTTGTGTCTCTCGTATCTCTGTCTGTCTGTCTATCTGTCATCATGGACAGATGTCCATGACACAGTATCAAGTAGAAATAGAAGCAAATCACAGAACATTATGATTAGTAATATAAAATACACTGTACACAGAATAATTCTATTTATGGAACGTACTCATAGCTCCTACTCTCTTTGAACTTCCCCCCAACATTTTATTAGGAAAAACTTTAAAAATACAGAAAAGTTAAAAGAATTATACAGTGAACACCCATAATACCCAATACCTAGATTCTGCAGCCAGCATTTGACTGTATATGCGCGATCACATGTCTCTCCATCTCTTTGTCAACCCATTTTTTAATGCGTTTCAAACCAAGATGCAGATATCGGTACACTTCTCCCCTGAACTCTTCAGCATGCATTTCATTTAAGCAGAATTCAATATTTGTTTTTGATCATTTTAAGGTAATAAAATTTACGTACAACAAAATGCACAAGGAAGTGTATCATTCTATGAATTTTGAAAAATGCATACTTAAAAACCCAGTGGGAGTGTAAACGTTAATCCAAAAAAAAATCACACTAACAGATATAAAGTACAGCCGTGATGTTTGCCGTCTGCTGGGAGAGCCTGCGGGAGTGGGATCGGCCCTGGCCAAAGTCAGGGAAGGCTTCTGGGAGGAAGAGGCTCTTGAGCTTTATCTAAAGGATGAGCTAAGTTAACTGTGCAAAGAGGGGAGGGAGTAAGTGGAAATCTCAGAATGTCCCTTCTGGGACTTCCCTGACGGTCCAGTGGTTAAGATTCTGTGCTAATGCAGGGGCCACGGTTTTGATGCCTGGTTGGGGAACTAAGATCCCACATGCAGCGTGGCAAAAAAAAAAAGAACATCTCTTCTTCCAGACCCCACACACCTAACCTCCTTTATTAGTTAGGGTGGATCCAACTGCCATAACAAAAAGACCCC